GTGGGCACGAGCTCCAGTCCCTGATAACTCCGTAGGGATTTGCAGGCTGTGTCTGAAGCAGGATGCCACCCTATAGTCTTCTCTCTGCCCCACAGTCTGTGGGGAACACAGTAACATGTTTTGATGCCTCTGGTTTCTGAAATGTGTGAGGAATTACCAGAAGGAGATAAAACCACAGAGTCTCAAGTACAAGGCTGAAATCCTGGGCACTGCTTACGTGCTGTCTGTCCACCCTGTCAGGCTGTAGTGAGTGAGAAGTCTTGTGTTGAGTTCATTTCCCCTCAACCCAGGGAAACAGCTTGTGTGCTTGGGACTGGAGACCCAGCTTGCCTTTTTAGGAGCTCGTGGTGCTCTGAACGAGGCGTTACTGGATGTGTGTGCTCCCACCAGTTTGAGGCTGTACCTGCACCCTCAGGTCAGCCATCGGCCTGACATGCCTTGACTTCGGGGCCTGCTGGGGCTGACCGCTCCTTGCTCACGTTTGCAGGGAAGAGAGGAACCAAACCCAAGTTCTGAGGCAGCAGCAGGATGAGGCATATCTGGCATCCTTGCGTGCGGACCAGGAAAAGGAGCGCAAAAAGAAGGAGGAACGGGAGAGGAAGAAGAAGAAGGAGGAGGAAGTGCAGCAGCAAAAACTGGCAGAGGAGAAACGGAGACAGGTGAGAGCAGACTGACTGCTGGAGGGGCTGCTGAGCCCTGTTGGATGCTCATGGCTTGAGTGTCCTCTGAGCTTCCTGGAGCAGATGTGCTGCAAGGGACAGGCATAAAGGTCAGTTCAGTGCCTGCCCATTGCTCCTGCTCCCTCCTTGCTTTGCAGACGCTGCAGGAGGAGAAGGAGCGGAAGTCCGAATGCCTTCCTCCCGAGCCCCATCCCGATGACCCAGAGAGCGTTAAGATCATTTTCAAGCTGCCTAATGATTCCAGAGTGGAGCGGCGATTCCACTTCACACAGTCATTGACGGTGAGCTGGGGGCAGAGCTGATGGGCTTGCCAGAGTAAAGGAGGGTCAAGGGATTCTCCAGGTGGCTCAACAAAGCTTTGGTTCCATTGGACTTTGCCAAATGTCACCAAAGCCTGTGCCAAAAGCCTTAGCAGCAGAGTTGTTCTTGGATAAGGACGGTGTCTTGGGGCCTTGTCCTACCAGCTTAGAAGAGAGATATTAGAAGAAAAAAATGGAAGAAATTTTTTCCCACCTTCTGAAAAGCTGAGACTTTTTGCTCCCCATTAAATAATGGTGTAGGAAGAGCCAGAAGGTGTCTGGACTCCCCAGGTACTTTGTGACACGTTTCATGCATGCTCAGAAAATGGCTGTCTCATGTCTACAATGCCGTGATGGTACAAATTTGGCACCTTTGCCCCCCTGTGAGACCCCGTGGATGTGATCTGGCAGTGTCTTTGCTCCTCCAGCTGGCAGTTATTTCTGTGCTTCTTTCCCAGGTGATCCACGACTTCTTGTTCTCCTTGAAAGAAAGCCCTGAAAAGTTCCAGATCGAGGCCAACTTCCCTCGCCGTGTCCTGCCCTGCCTCCCTACAGAGGAGTGGCCCAACCCACCCACGCTGCAGGAGGCCGGACTCAGCCACACGGAAGTCCTCTTTGTGCAGGACCTCACGGACGATTGACACTTTTCCAGAAGACACAAAATGGAAAGAGAAATTCATATTATTATTATAATACAATATTTTTTTTAAAAGACTGCGTACAACCAAGGGATCAGAGACCACATCGCCTGTGCCAGCTGTGCTGTGTGTGTGCACTGGCGAGAGGAGGTGTGTGCACGTCCTCACACACCCATGTACACAGCCATCCCCTACACTTGGAGGGCAGAGAGGGAGGGGAGCTGGTGTTGCCCCTCCGCCCTCTCTGGGGAGGAACAGGAATGGCAGCTCTCAGTAATTATTGCTTTTATTGACAACAATAACAATAAAACCCCAACAACCTGACATCTTGTGAAGATTTGATACTCTGCTGCTCCTGACAGCCAGAAGACTGGGCACCTGAACGTGCTGGGAGTGGGGTGGGAGGGAAGGGCTGGACAGAATCTCTTCAGCTTCCCTCTGTGTATAAATATCTTTCTTTTAATATTTCTCTTGCTTTGTAATGACCAAAGGAGAATGGGGTTGACTATAGTATTAACTTTTTGATAAAGAGCTGGTTCAATTCTTTACCCGTGTGGGGTCTTGCCCAGGGTTCTTAGCCTGCGTAGTGTAATAAACTCTGCCTCTAGCATCTCTGTGACAGTGCTTTCTGCCTCTGCCCCCCCGCCTCAACCCAGCACTGGGGAGGGGGTTCCAGCTGCTGTGGCTCTACAGTAACTCCTGGGTACACTGAGCGTGTGGCCTTGTGTGAGGCCAGGTCTTGGAAGAGGTAATTTGGTGTAAGACAAACAAAAAATGTGTATTATGAGGGAGGGGCAGTGCTGGGGTTGTTGCTGTGCTGCCTGCCCAGGGTGTGAACTTGGGTGAGGACTGGGGAGGAAGGAGATGGCCCTTCCTTTGCTCCAAGGGCAGGGTCACCCCTCCTGGACCAAGTTAGAAGTGGAAGAAAAGACAAAAGTGCAGGGTGGGAAAGGGTGGGTGTAAGTCTCTCTTCCTCCCAAGGCTTGGTCATGGCTGTGGAGCTGCCCTCAGCTCCTGTCCACAGGGAAAGTTCCTCCCTTGGTCTGTTGGCCACCTGTCCTGGACAGGTACCCATGCTCCTAGTGCAGCTCAGGTGCCTGCATGAAGCACAGGGGAGCAGGGTACCCCCTGTACCACAGCCTTTGCTGAAAGGTGTGCAAGGGTGGCTCCAGGGCCTGGCATGGATTCTCCTTCATCTTCCTCTCAAAGAAAAAGCTGTTCCCTTTCTGGAGCATCAGGGTTTGGGGAGTAGCAACCCTGCTCACAGCCTTGGGGAGCTGGAGCTCCTGTTCTGTTGTGTGTAGAGTGGGGATGTTTGTGCTGCTCAGCTCGCTGTGCCCACCCTGGGGCTGCTGAGGTTCCCTGGGGGCAGCCAGGCTGTGCTGGCTTCCCCCTGAGCCAGGGGGGTGTGGGGATGACCCCTCCCCAGGCTGAGCAGGGCTGTGCTGGAGGGTTGGGCTGCAGGAGAGGTGGATGCTGGAGCCACCCAGGAAGACGTGATGTCCCAGGAGGACTTTCCATCTCTGTTCATCTCCAGGTAGGAGCTGGTCCCTGGTGCTGCTGGATCACAGACCCCTTCAGGGCAGAGGACCCAGCGAGCTCTTGCTTCCAACCTGGGACTTTCCTCCGAGTCCCTCTCTGCTGCTCTCCAGCTGTGCCACCACCCCTCCACCTGCTCGGTGACAGCCTGGGGACCCCCAGCCCTGACCAGAGCACTAGC